AACGACAAAACCGATCGATCCTAAAAGTGCTGAAAATTAGCAAACAGATGAACATCGACTGGAAAGAAGCTCTACAAGAATACCTGTATATGTACTCTGTGACTCCACATTCCGTAACAGGTGTTTCACCGGCGCAGTCAATGTTCGGAAGAAGATTCCGAGACTTGATCCCGCATTTCCAAATGCAAGTTTTAGATGACCATGAGATGCGTGATAGGGATCGAATGTTGAAGTACCAAGCAAAAACGCGTTGAAGTACCAAGCGAAAGAATCATCGGTGTCTGTTGGGGATGAAGTGCTAATGAAGAACATGTTACCGCAAAACAAGCTTGATTCCAAATTCCTGCCTACGCCTGTGAAGGTAGTCGACCGACGTGGGAACAGCTTGACACTCGAAACCCCGGATAGGCAGACTTATAAGCGCAACACAACACATGTGAAACCTTTCGTACGTCAACCTGTCGCCGAGAACAACTCGCCAGCTGAAGGTTGGAGTTCGCCGACATCAGTGGATCGAGATACCTCTGTGCACGTAGAAGGGGAGATCAACCAGGAGCCTGCTAGAGTGCCGAGACCAAGTCGGCAGGTAATGCGACCCAAACGATATGACGATTACTGTCTTGATTAATCTAACGGTTGTTCTTTCAAGTTAACTAAAATAAAATAAGGGAGATATGTAGTGATTCCCACTAACTGGAAACACAGCAATGTATGTACGTCATAAACTTTGGATTGGAGAAAGATAATAAAAAGTTACTTCCTCGTGTACGCGTGTATTTTAATTCGACTCCTAACATATATATTTCAGTCCAAAAATTCTCTCCTATCAACCCAATCATGAAATTCAAACTTAAATATTCTTCGAATTTTAAGGCTTTTTTCCTGCAATTCACTGAAGCTTCCTTCCATAATTCTATTTACAAATCATTGGCATTGTCTTTTGAAAACAATTAACATCAGAATTGTCTTAAAATTTTGTTCAGAATACTCTTGGAGTTCGCCTTTAAATTCTTCTGAGTTATTTCTTAAAATCCTCAAGAAATTCTTATGTTATGCCCTTGGAATGATCCTCGGAATTCTCACCGATTTTGAGAGAGCAATATTTTCATGGTTTGAAAATGGAAAATGGATAATCGTTGAAGAATGAGAATGTCGATTCTCAGCTCTGTGAAACGGAGCTTGAGTGATGCGTCGCTTATCTTCCAGCTGAACGAGAATTACAATCTATGCTTGACACTCACAAAAAGTCAGCTCCATTGGTTGAAAGACGGTTGAGAAATGGCGATGAGTAGACGGTACCACCATAGAGGTAACTCTAGGACTAGAAGGTCCCGAAATAACGTGTTCAACTTTTTGGCTCAGCTCTGGTACTCTCTTCGGTCCCAAGCTAATCGATGCACCCCTCGAAACACAGAAAAATCCACGAACCCCTCATTTTATCTGTCAAATTTTCATAGCGAATCAAAACAAACATTGTGTAGTAGTAGAATTTCGACTAGCATTGGGTACGTTAATCGATTTGCTTGGGACCAATAGGCTAGTAAAGTAGTGAGCCAATTTAAAATCGTTAGTTTCGTATTGATTGTACCACAAACGAAGTGACAGACGACTAACTGGCGAAGAAATCAATTAAAATAATGTGGTTCACTGTAATAGAATTTTCTTAGGAACTTGTGCCATTGTACCAGATGGGCTAGTATTTTTGTTTGATTTTAACAAAGTTGATTTTGTATGTAATGATCTTTGACAGTGTGCCAGTTTGACAGATAAAATGAGGAGTTAGTGGATGTTTCTATGTTTCGAGGGGTGAACCAGAACTGAGCCAAAAAGTTGAGCTCGTTTCTTCGGGACCTTCTGGTATTAGACTTACCTCTATGGTATTATGGCAAAACAGAGCATACTATGCAATAGAAAAAAAATCAAGATTAGTCTAATACGAATAATATTAAGAGCCGGCATAATACTCACAACAGAAGAGTTAAAAACTTACACTCTTTTTAAAAGTTACTCAATATTTGGTAGATTCTAACCAGTTTGATCAAAACTGAACCTCCCAAAAACTGGGTAAACACGCATTTAGACAGATCTGGGTAAACATACTTTCGAAGGAAAGTGGGTAAAGTTTACTCCGATCTTGACGGTTTCTATCTTGATAACCTTGAACCATTTTGATGTATACACGCAGAGAAATGATTTTTAAATTCAAATGGATATATATTTGGCTCAGGGCCTAATATATTTTTTGTATTGATTCAAATATATTATTCGGTTAATTCAAAGAAAAATCTTTTTGAATCAACAAACCGGTTTTGCTTTGAGCGTGTAGTGATTGTTTGAGATTGTCTAGTGTGCAGTGAGAAAATGTACTTTTCTGTCCTGTATCTTATAATGTCACTAAATATTTTGACAAAAACTTGGTAAATGGTACCTTTCAATATTGATTTGTGTATATTGAATTATGAATTTAAAAAACGATATCCCATTGAATAAGATAGCTGGAAACGACAGTTTGTTGAAAATAACTTTACGCTAGATTGCAATACCACCTTGTGTATTCTTGTTCAACTGTAAGAAAATCATCATCAAACTATAGAAACTATAGATTCCATAGATAAGCGGAGGCAATGTATAATGTAGCAAAACCAGTTAGTGAAGCCAAACAAGCATGACACCATGGTGTTGTTTGAGGGACAATGGAAGAAGGAAAGATAAAGCAAACCATTCCTCGATACATTGTTGCAAAGATTTGCTTTGCACTTCATTTTGAAGTTTTACGCACGAAACAAAACAAAAGTGCACAACGACGAGCTCTATGATGGCATGAACTTTTTTCACGGACACCAGTAAGATCATTTGTTTTTCATGGTTGCCAAAACAACTTTGTATGAATCCACTTATCTTGGAATCTATAGTATCTATACATCAAACTGCTTGGTTCCCAATGACGGTTCGTGACAGCTTGATTATGGCTCCTTTTGACGTTCATATTTTCGAGTCTGCTTCTCCCTCTCAGGTCTGAACTGAACGTAATATAATCATAGAGGTAACTCTAAGACTAGAAGGTCTCGAAGAAACGTGCTCAACTTTTTGGCTCAGCTCTGGTACTCTCTTCGCTCCCAAGCTAGTTGATTCACCCCTCGAAACATAGGATAATCCACTAACCCCTCATTTTATCTGTCAAATTTTCATAGCGAATCAAAACAAACATAGTATAGTACTAGAATTTCGACTAGAATGGGATGCGTTATTCGATTTGCTTGGGACCAATAGGCTAGTTTCGTATTGATTGTTGATATAATATTGTGACGTCAGGGTAGGCGTGTAAAATTGTATGAGACAGCTAATACCAACCGGTGGAAACTAAAGATTTTAAATTGGCTCACTAATTGACTAGCCTATTGGTCCCAAGCAAATCGATTAATGAAACCCCATTCTAGTCGAAATTCTAGTACTACAATATGTTTGATTCGATATGAAAGATTGACAGATAAAATGAGGGATTCGTGGATTTTCCTATGTTTCGAGGGGTGCATCGATTAGCTTGGGACCGAAGAGAGTACCAGAGCTGAGCCAAAAAGTTGAGCTCGTTTCTTCGGGACCTTCTGGTCTTAGAGTTACCTCTATGGTTATAGATTTACTTGGGACCTACAGGCTAGTCAAGTAATGAGCCAATTTGAAATCGTTTGTTTCCACCGGTTGATACTACGGCTGGCACTGTATTTTTTGGCGACATTATCGAGACGAAACTTTCACCACTGAAACACGTGTACTTTCAAAACAAATCGCTGTCAAAACATTCCACATCCGACCACTAGAGGCTCTGTTATAGAATAAATAAAGTGTGTTGGATTCGAAGTGGACCAGACTTTAAGTAAATAAACTTTCCTGAATACGTCAATTCAATTAGATGCGCAATCCCAATGTTGTTAATATTTTTCTGGCAGATGTTATCCCTGGTCCACTGTGCACTGAAGGAATGGTTTTCTTGGAAAGCTTCAGCGATCCGGTCGTGGGCTTTAAAAAAATCAATATTAATCTAATCTTTGCCTTTGGGTGAACCCATAAAAAATGTTTCAGCTAGAATGAAGCCTATTAATACAGATATCTTATGCACTTCAGGCTAAATCACTTAAAATGTAACAAATGTTGAAAGAAACTTGAACAATTGAAATACAACAATAATCGCTAATCCGGCGCTCGATAATCCGACATCACGTTCTCTTATGGGGCTGTTTTTACGTTGTTAGATTGGTAACATAGATTTGTATGAATTTGACAGTCGGATTATCGGATCAGCCCTGCTAATCCGGCCACAAATTTGATGGATTAGCGATTGGATATTGTACTTGATCAAATGTGTGCTGGTTGTGATCCAAAATAATCAATCGACGTCTTTGAACGAGAAAATCCATTTAAATTCAAATCATCAGCGACCTACTTCCGATTTCAGTTCTACACGCTTTCCTAGTGACGCGTACACTTCGTTCCAGAAACATCACCGAAGGTGCGAATTTTAAATATCATCGCATTTATTTAATGGCGAGTTTAATGGTCCATTGGAAACCGACACCTTCGCTTTTCAGATCCCCTTCCGCCTCCACCACAAAACCGATCAGCTTCATGTATACTTCTCCGATTTTGAAAGCAGCTTGCCGAAAATTTATAGGCCATCAAATTAAGTTTTACTACCGCTTCTAGTTTACTTTGCTGCCGATTGTAACTAGCACCAACCGTGTATTTTCTTCTGTGTAGTATGGGGAAATTAACTGCGCAGAGGGTAAATGAACACCGTCAATCCCTCTTAAAGACAAAACCGTGATAACATCCATAGCTTTAGCAAGTTGAGTCACATAATTCGCCACTCAACCTGCCGTCAGATAACGTCAGTCTTATTGGAAACGATTTCCACCGTTAACTTGTCATTTGCTTTGTGTAGAATTAGATCATCAGTGTACTCATATTTAATCCTTTTATCTTCTCCTAAAACCACTTGAACGTAGGCCTACGGTGCTATTCCTGCAGTGTCACCGCCAACTCGGGCGACAAAAAGTGCATCAGCGATCCATCCAGCGTCGAAGGGCAGAGCGTTGTCAATTGCAACCGGAAGTACTGTACCATCCAGCGGCAGGAATTGATTGTAAGTTTTGACTTATGAGCTGTTTACACTTTCAGGCTAGTTCACTAGCTCCACCAGTTCAACCAACTAGCGCGAATTTCAGATGTTCCGGAGATCTGTGGTAGATGCTGAGGAATTGTTTAGCAAAAAAAGCACATATGCAAACATCACATTAGTCTTTGTTTTCTGTTTGAAAGAAAATTCAACTGCACTTCAAATTGAAGAGGACGTGTCACAAAAACCAGACGAGTCAACTGAATGAATTTCAAACAATGTTTGTGATTTTTTTTTAATCAAATCCACTCTCCCCCCATTCCACAATTTCGCACAAACATTATATATTTGCCGTTTTCAACATTAGTCAACACACGAGCCGATCGAGCAGTCTTGTACTTAACAACAAAATATGTTCCACTCAGGTCTGCTGCCACCACCCGCTCCCGAAGTAGGCCAAACAACAATTATTTGGGACGAACATTAGGTACCTACGAGCAACTGTTGATCCGAGCAGAGAGGAGGCGTTGACAGATTCTCAGAAGAGTCATGTAATGGCAAAGCAAGCTGCAAGCAAATAAACAACGGGGCCTACTTGGATCGACCGACGAATGAATGTAGATTTCGTAGAAAAACACAACTTGATGCTTATTAAATTCAGTCAAGGGGGTGTTTTGGAGGAAATGGAGCCTGTTTGCCATTGTCGATGAATCCGGAGATTGTCAACTCAGCAGCCATCGTTGAAATAAAAATAAAAATTTATCTGCCTCGTTTGAGGAAGCCCTTTTAAAGTATTCATGTATGTATTTTTGTTTTATTTTTGTTCTTCCAGGATCCCCCCGACAAAATCAACACATTTCTGCGTGGCTGCGAAGAGGATCCACTGGTAAGTCTATCAGTCAATGACAAGTTCTGGGAAAGTCTAATGGCAATAAAATAATTAAAGAAATTAAATCACAGTTCGTCGGGCGATAGGAAGCCTATCAGCTTCGGTTATCGGAAATTAATTGCTTTGATTGATGTGGAACCTGTTGCTTCGTATGCTGTTGGTTGCATTTTTGTTTGGAATCGATAACCCGTAATGTTATTGTACCTTCTAATGTTTCGGTGCTGAAGATTGTGTTGGAGATACTATTTGTATTGTTATACTTTTAAATTTATCTCTTTTCTGTGTTGACTTATTAATTTGAATCAATCTGCTAAATTAGTTTCTGGTTTTGTCTGGACACCTTGGTTGAATATATATTAAAATACAGTCAACTCTCCATGACTCGATATTGAAGAGACCATCGAGTTATAGAATTATTGAATTATAGAATAAATTTAAAAATTTCGATCGTCTATAATTTTGAGAATAATACCGAAATACTCCATTTACTGGAATATCTGGCCTTATTTAATGATATGGATATGAAGTGGTGTTGAGTACTTGACACTGATGAAGTCTGCAAGAAGTAGACGAAATACGCGAATCTGTCAAAAGATAAGCAATTATAACGGAATTTAAAGGAAATAAACCAACACACTCAAAGCTCTTCACGAAAAACTGTTCAAGCATCAATTTATGGAAGTTCTGAGTAGTTAATTTCTAATCAAATATCTTCATAAAATGGAAAAGAGAGTTCCACCATAGTTCAGAGGTTATCAATGAAACTTAAGAATTCTTAGGACTGCTCAAACAAGAATTTCTGGGAAATTGTCAAAACTTCAGATACCTCCTAGGTTTTGTTTATCAAATGCATGTTTCTAAGGTGGGATTTCGAAGTTAGTTATTCCTAATTACATTTTTTTTTCAGTTCCTCGATGACGTCCTCGATGATCCCACGTTTCGAACGTACTTCCGATCGTGCTCTTCGGATTTGTGCAATTCTGGTGAGTGCAATTATCATCATTTCTAATCGGCACTAAAATACATCTTCCATTCTTCGCAGGTGACGGGTTGGACAGTGCCAGTGGACATTCTGGCCTCGACGCAGGAGCTTCGGACAATTTACTTGTTCCCGGTCTGATCGGCTCAGCTCCCAGCATAGGAGGAAGCTTGTTGAGGGTATCACTGTTCCTGCCAATATTAGCGGCTCTTTGGGGAAATATTATAAGCTAATCCTAAGCAAAATCTAGATCACTTAGTTTCTATATTCAAACGAGATTCGCCAGATATTAAAATTCTAAGCTGAACTAATCTGTACGCAGCAAAATCCACCGATATAAAAAAAATCCTTTCTTGTACTAAGACGTGTAGTTAGATCACCGAAATGCCAAAATCAACACCCGACCCACCAACCGTAGATCCGTAAACTCATAAATAGTCTAGCCGGTTGAGCCCTGTCATGGCCACAGAAATGCGCGCCCGCACGCAATCCAATTTGCCTGGTTGGGTTTTGGAATTCCCAGTGCTACAATTTGGTCCCCGTAGCTATTTACCTAATACGATTCTCCTCCAAACACCACCACCTGCTGCCACAATCCTGCTGACCCTCCGACTGAGTTGCCAAGCAACTGGAGCAAATGTAAACGAGAAAGTACACAGACAAGTAACAACATCCTATCTGGTTTTTTTTTGCTCGCTGCTGAGTCCACCGGCGTCGGAAAGCGTCCTTTGCCCTGACTGGCTCCATTTACCACGGTGCCATGAGGAGAATACGGACAAAAATGGGTGACAATTTGTAAGAGCGTGTCGCTTGTTCTATGAATATTTGAGTAGTTGAAAGTTGGCTCAGAAGTCGAGATCCTCGAGCCGTTGGTAAATGACAGTAAACCGATGTCTTTTCGCGGTAATTGAGCTTGCAAATGTCGAAAAGGGTTTATGGAACGGTAATGCGATGACTATTGGTTGTAGCTGGTTCGGTCGGTTGTCACAGGGTCATTTTAAAATGTCCTAAGAGTAATTTATCAACCACGAATGGTATCAGCGCACAAGCCCATCATTTAACACGGTGAATTAATTTGAGTCATATTTGAGCCCTGTTCACTCAAATTCGCAAAAACGTGGGTCACACATATAATGAGAGAAATTTTACTCAAATATGAGTAAATGTTACTCTTATATGAGTAATTGTGGCTCAAATATGAGAGACATTTGTTCGAAATTTACACATTCTATGAATGACCTACACACCAAATTTAAATCGCTGAACATCAGCAAAATTTTGCTGATTTTAGACTTGATGAAAGATCAGCAAACGTTCCAGCAAAATAATGCTGCTGAATTTTTCAGCAATTTCAACTTCTGTCAAAATGACAACCTTTTACTGAAAATCAGCAATATTTCTTTACTGATCTTTCAGCAATTAAAAATTTTGAAATTTGGCAGCATTTTGCTGATTAAACAATTAAATTCAGTAAATCTAATTTGTTTTCACTATATGATTATCTATTTGTAGTTTTTTTAGCTCTTCCTCCTCCTGCGGTTTGAATGGTAGTGTACGAATGCAAAAATACTAGCGACTGTGATGCTAACAGTTTGACAGCTCTTTTACTGGGTGTTAGTTTATGTTAGCTGATGTTTTCAGTAAAAATATCATTTGCTGTTTTTCAGTATTGGATTGCTGGTCATGATCCAGCAATCCGTTTTACTGATATGGAAAACTAAAATTTGGTGTGTAAGTTTTTCGGAATTTCGTTTAATTATATTTGGGCGGCCAGTTCTGAATATTTCACTGCAGTTTCATGAATATCAGGAAAATTGCGGGAACTTCAGCAAAGTTCCGAAAGCTTATGGAAAATTTCAAGAACTTTAGGACAATTCCATTAATTTTAGGAAAATAGCGGAAACCTTCAATACGTTCCAAAAATATAAGGATATTTGAAAGAACTTCAGGAAAGTTTAGTAAACTTAATAAATATTTCGGAAACATCAAAGAAGGTCCTAGAAATTCACGAAAGTCCAGATAACTTCCGAGTGGTTTAGAGATCTGTATGGCAGTTTCATTAACACCAGGAAAACTGCAAACAACTTTTCAGTAAATCTTATGGCAATTCTGGAAACTTAAGTGCACTTCCATGAATATCAAGAAAATTGTGAGATCTTTAAGGAAGCTCCGAGAACTTTGGGTAAATTTCGAGAACTTTAGAACGGTTCCATTAATTTCAGGAAAATAGCGGAAACCTTCCATAAGTTTCAAAATTTAAGAATATTTCAAATAACTTCAGGAATGTTTAGTAAACTTAAGACATAATTCGGAATCTTCATAAAAGATCCATGAAATTTATGGAAGTCCAGAGAACTTCAGGGATGTTTAGAAATCTCCAGTTCCATTAACATAAGGAAAACTGCAGAAGCTGTTCAGTAAACGTTGGGAAAGAGCTGGAAATTTTAAAACAGATCTATGAATATCAGGAAAATAGAGGAACCTCAGGGAAGTTCCGATAGCTTTGAGTAAACTTTACTTTCAGGAAAATAGCGGAATCTTTCAGTAAGTTCCAAATATTACAGGATATTTCAAAGAACTTCAGGAATGTTTAGTAAACTTAAGAAATAATTTGGGAACTTCATTCAAGATCCATGAAATTCACGGAAGTCCAGAGAACTTCAGGGAAGTTTGGAGATCTTTAGGGAAGTTCCATTAACATTTTAGTAAACGTTGAGAAAATTCTGAAAACTTCAGGACAGATCCATGAATATCACGAAAATAGCGGGAACTTCAGGGAAGTTCCGAGAATTTTTGATAAATATTGAGAACTTTAGGATAGCTCCATTAATTCCAGGAAAATAGCGGAGAACTTCAATAAGTTCAAAAAAATAAAGGATATTCCAAAGAACTTCACTTAAGAACTATTTCGGAAACTGCATGCAAGATCCAAGAAATTCACGGAATACCAGAGATCTTCAAGGAAGTTAAGAGATCTTCAGGGCAGTTGCATTACCTGAAAACTGAAAAAAACTATTCAGTAACCCTTGGCGCAGTTCTGGAAACTTCAGTGCAGTTCCATGAATATCAGGAAAATTTCGGGAATTTTAGGGAAGTTCCGAGAACTTTTGGTAAATTTCAAGAACTTTTGGTGATTCCAAAAAAATTAAGGACATTCCAAAGAACTACAGGAAAATTTATTAAACTTAAGAAACATTTCGAAAAATTCATAAAAAAATCCAAGAACTGCATGGAAGTTCAGAGAACTTCAAGGAAGTTTAGAGATCTTTAAGGGTGTTTTATTAGCTTCAGGAAAACTGCAAATAGTTTTCAATAAACCTTGAGAAAATTCTGAAAATATCAGGGAAGTTCGAGAACTTTGAGACAGTTTCATAAATTTCAGGAAAATAGCGGAAACCTTCAAAAAGTTCCAGAAAAAAATAAGGATACTCCAAAGAACATCAGGAAAGTTTAGTAAAGACATATTTCGGAAACTTCATAGAAGATCCATAAAATTCACAGAAGTCCAGAGAACTTCAGGGATGTTTAGAAATCTTTGGAGCAGTTCCATTACCTTTAGGAAAACTGCAAAAACTGTTCAGTAAACCTTGGGGCAGTTCTGAAAATTTTAGGACAGATCCATGAATATCAGAAAAATGGCGGGAACTTCCGGGAAGTTCCGATAAATTTAGTTAAATTTCACGAACTTCGAATAAGTTTAATTAATTGCAGGAAAATAACGGAAAACTTCAATAAATTCCAACAATGTAATGACATTTCAAAGAACTCCAGGAAAGTTAAGCAAACTTAAGAAATATTTTGAACACTTAATAGAAGATCCAAGTAATTCACGGAAGTCCAGAGAACTTCAGGGAAGTTTAGAAATCTCTAGGGCAGTTCCATTAACATAAGGAAAACTGCAAAAGCTGTTCAGTAAACCTTGGGAAAGAGCTGGAAATTTTAAAACAGATCTATGAATATCAGGAAAATAAAGGAACTTCAGGGAAGTTCCGATAGCTTTGAGTAAACTTTACTTTCAGGAAAATAGTGGAATCCTTCAATTAGTTCCAAAGATTACATGCTTTTTCAAAGAACTTCAGGAATGTTTACTAAACTTAAGAAATATTTCGGGAACTTCATTCAAGATCCATGAAATTCACGGAAGTCCAGAGTACTTCAGGGAAGTTTGGAGATCTTAAGGGAAGTTCCATTAACTTAAAGAAAACTGGCAACACTTTTCATTAAACGTTGAGAAAATTCGACAGATCCATGAATTTAATGAAAATAGCGGGATGTTGCGAGAATTTAGGCACTTTTTGAGAACTTAAGGTTATTCCAAAGAACTTTGGGAAGGCTTATTAAACTTAAGAACTATTTCGGAAACTTCATGCAAGATCCATAAAATTCACGGAATTGCAAAGATCTTCAGGGAAGTTTAGAGTTCTTTAGGGCAGGTGCATTACCGGAAAACTGCAAAACTATTCAGTAACCCTTGGCGCAGTTCTGGGTTGAAAAAGGTTTTTGAAAATATTGTCAAATACCCCACAATATGGGTATTTTTGGAATCAGGATGACGTGTAGGGACCTGAAATCGATGTCTGACGCCATTTTGAAATCCAAGATGGCGACTCCAGTTACAGAAAAATTCGAAATTCTGACAAATACCCCACAATAAGGGTATTTTGGAATCGGAGTGACGTGTAGGGACCGAAAATCGATGTGTGACGCCATTTTGAAATTCAAGATGGTGGTTTCCGGTTACAGGAAAACAGAAAAATACCGTTAAATACACAACAATATGGATATTTTTGGAATCGGGGTGACCTGTGAGAACCGAGAATCCATGTCTGACGCCATTTTGAAATCCAAGATGGTGACATCCGGTTACAGAAACACTAGAAAATACTGTCAAATACCCCACAATATGGCTTGTTTGGAATCGGGGTGACTTATTAGGACTGAAAACCCATGTCTGACGCCATTTTGAAATTCAATATGGCGACTTCCGGTTACATAAAAAACATAAAAATAATGTTAAAAAACCTACTATATGGGTATCTTAAGAATCGGGGTGACGGGGTGGTATTTTCCAATTTTTCTGTAACCGGAAGCCGCCATCTTGGATTTTGAAATGGCGTCAGACATCGATTTCCGGTTCTTACACGTCACTCCAATTCAAAACATACCCATATTGTGGGGTATTTGACAGAATTTCGAAGTTTTTTTGTAACCGGAAGTTGCCATCTTGGATTTAAAAATGGCGTCAGACATCGATTTCCGGTCCCTTCACGTCATCCTGATTTCAAAAATACCCATATTGTGGGGTATTTGGCAGAATTTTCAAGTT